AATTGCGGCCGTAATTGGACAGGAAACGACTTGTTTTCGGTTCTGGCGACGCGAAATTAGCGGTTTATGGCTGGAGAGCAGTAGTGACGTTTTGATTTGTAAATTGTGCTCCGCTACCTCGAGCTGCGTTTTTCTTCTGAATATTAATTAAAACGTTCGTGAGCATCAAATCATCTTAAGTGGACTGCCGGAGGCGTCGTGCAATTTCCGTTCAGTATTTACATTCTGACATGAGCAGATGCAAAAAGAAATGGGACGTTTCTCGAGGCAATAAAACTTTGTTGACAGCTCGAAATTAAATATGAAGTAGAAATGTCGGCTCCACGTTCCTTCACCTCGGAGAATACATCTGTTTAGCGGGATGACATGCGACCGAAGGAATCTTTTTAAAAAATTAGGGAACATTTTTAAATTGGATCCGCTGAACAAGTTTTGATATTCGGCGGCACGGGTTCGCTGTGTAAAGAACGTGACCAGCGAATAAGGGAATGTTTGCCAGAAAGCATATTTCGGGCGAGGAAGAAGAGTTAACATTCGTTTCGTAAAAATAATTGCAACACCTGGTTTTTCCTTTATGGGTTATGGTTTTCAAGTTTTTCAAGAGAATTTAAAACTAACTGACCGATCACTTGAAACTGGGTCACTAAATGAAGCCGAAAAGTTTCTCTCCCTTGAAAGGTCACACTTTTTAATTACCAATGGGAGTGCTTTTGTGCGAAACATTGCAGAACTTACTTCAACACATTTTACGTACCTCATCCACACACCTACAAGCCTTCAAGCTAGGTAACCAGAACTAAATCCCATTTCTCAAAATAATATACCATGACGCTGCGCAGTCTTATGACGCCATTAAGGTGTAGTATACGCCACTAATACTTCTTTAGTTTTCTCACTTTAACAAACTTTTTTCTTTGACTTTTTTTTTATTTGTGATCTAGTTACCCAAAAATTTGTAGACAGGACAAATTAGACTGAAAACTAACTTGACACAGTTCTTAGTTTTAGAAAAATTATAACAGTTTAATCAACTTTTACACGAAATTCACTTTGTTCTTCAAAATCTCCATTGTTGTGATGAATTCGCAATTTCACAATATAACCTGAATATGGGTTACCTGTGTCTGAACTTAAACACATTAAATAACATTAATTGTATTTAAAACAACTACTGGAAATTTTGGCCCCCGATTTTAATACATAAATTGACTCAGAGTTTCATATTTTCAAATACTTACCTAAAGAACTTATTCCGGTTTCGAAAGACTTTCGGAAGACTTTGAAAGTGTTTACTTTCAAAGTCTTGTATGATTATCAAGCAGGTCAATAAATTCCTGCGGCTGTTCTGATTCTCACATCGAAGAAAATGAGCCCAAATAGTCGTCTTCGAAAAATGGCATACCACCAATTTCATGATTTAGGTGGCGCTTTTCTATGGCCTTTTCTCCATTTTTCTTTGTTGTCTTTTTTGACCCGTTTTATATCGCCTTTTTTCTTGCCTTTTTCTCGCCTTTGCCGCATATTTATTGTTGTTTCTGTTTTGGCATTTTTTGTCCCCTTTTTTCTGTCACTTTTTTGTCACATTTTTGTCCCCTATTTTTTGTTTCATTTTTTAGTAATTTTAATTGTCGCTTTTTTGTCTCCTAATTTTTTTGTCATGTTTTCTTTGCCTTTTTTGCTATAACTTTTGTCACATTTTGTTCCTTTTTTTTAGGAGTATTTTTTGTGGCCTTTTTTGGTCATTTTCTTTGTCCCTTTTTGTGGCTTTTCTTATGTCACGGTTTAGGGTCCGCCCTTGTTTATAACCTTTCTCCGCATTTTTTCTTTGGTTTTTTACCTCTTTTTATCGTTATTTTTTTTTACTTTTTTGTCCCGTTTCTTTCGTCGCCTTTTTACTTCCCAAGCGTAAGCTAATGAAGTATAGTAATAGAGTCCATTGGCCGAATTGCCACTTTCATATTTTCTCGACATGTCATGACCTCTAGAGTACGAAAAAAGTGGTCTCCCGTTTCCGTCTGTCTTCCTGGTGTCTGGATCCACTTTTATTAGACAACTATTTGCCGAAACTACGGGACCGATTGTTGTCAATTTTTGTATGTATATCAGGAATATATATAATGTAGATGGTTCAACACAAACTAAATTTGGATAATCATCCCCACCACCAATGGGATGAAATCATCTCCAAAATTTATAATAAAAAGTTGTTTTTAAATTTTATAAAATAAGATAATCCTGCACTTTGGTGTGTGAATCCGTGTGAAATTTTCACCCTAGACATTCAGAATTTTTGGAAAAAAGTCTAAACTAAATTACAATATTTTGCAATATAACTTTGAAACTGCAAACTCGAATGCTCCGAATTCTTGTCAACGTTCTAAAGTTATCGTGATCAGGCGCGGATCCAGGGGGGGGGGGCAATTGCACCCATTGCCCCCCCCCCCTGACACACGACCGAGGTACTTTATTTTGACCAATTTTAAAATTTTGAAATCATATTTCATTTTGTAAATACAGTACAACCTCTATAATCCGAACCCACGATTATCTGAACATCCAGTAATCCGAGGCTATTTGAAGTCGATGCCTCTTTAATCCGAACAAAAACTCTGCAATCCGAACTGAACTTGAAAACATGCATCTACTTCCAAAAATTACGCAAGATCTTTCTGCATATGTTGTATGGAATATTTTGAAATTTTTAAAAATTGCGATATTTCAAAGCACTGAATTAATTAACTAATTCTGGAGAAACGGATGAAGTTATCGGAGACCCGAAATCTACAAGAGAAAATATTTGGTTAAATTTCGAAAATCGTCGAAAATGGGTCGAAATTTGCATGAGAAAAATTTTATTTTATGAAAAATTTTCCAAAAAATTCTAAAAAAATTCAGGGATATATAACCCTGATTCCAAAAATATACCATGTTTATGGTAACGGAGCAATATTTTCGGAAAATTCGCTGTGAAATTTTAATTTTTCGAAATTTTAAAAATTGCGATATTTCAACTGGACGATACTGGAAAAATGGTTTAAGTTATTGAAGAAATGAAGCCAGAAGTGACTTCTGAGGTCCAAAATCTACAAGAAAATGTATTTAGTTAAATTTCGAAAATCGTCGAGAATGGGTCGTAATTTGCATAATGGAGGTAATAGTAATACGAATACATAATGGAAAATTTCATTTTTGAAAAATTCATCTAAAAATTCTGAAAAGTTTCAGGGTATAGATCCGGGGGTGTTTATTCCAAAAAGATAGCGTGTTTATCGTCACGGAGTAATATTTTTTTAGAATGTATCTATTACCCATTGTTGCTTAAGAATTTTTTAATTTTTGTTTAATAAAACTTAGGTTTATTTCTTGAAGTTTGTTTTCAGTTGTGTATGAAGTTGTTATTCAATTTCCTTTCAGATTTTTGGGAAAATTGCTGATCTGAACAAATCGTTAATCCGAACACACCTTTTTCCCAATTAGGAATTAGGATTATCGAGGTTCTACTGTACACTATACGTGTAATGAAAAGAATCAAATGTCACCCATATTATGTAAAAAAGAGTATACTAGCTAAAATTTTATAAATTTTTTTGTTTAGAACGAATTTCTGGTGGACAGGTAAAGTCACACAAAAATTGCCCCCCCCTGGACGAAATCCTGTATCCGCGCCTGATCGTGATCATGGTAAACTGTGAAGATAAATTTATTTGTTTATCCCCTCCCAAAAAATTGTTGATGTCATCCCAAAATTTTGCTGAATAATTCCTATCCAAAATATGCAAAATATGATGAGCCTATATTTGTGATTTATCATTGCATTAATAGTTTTTAAATTTCTTATATAGGGTCACTCATAAAGATTAATGAATGAGTCAATTTATTTTATTTATTAAATCAGGACCAGCTCACCCCGTTTTTCCGAAAATTTCGGAATACAATACTGTTATTTTTAGTATTACACTACACCTAACCAAAGTGATATACTTGTCTTTACAAAAAATGTTGATAACGTCGTCACAAAATTTTGCTAAGTGAAAACTCATTTGAAACGTACGCCCAGCATGCTTCTTTACATTTACTTTATTTTTTAATTTATATCTTAACTTTAAGGGTTCTCATAAAAAAAATAAAATTCGCGTAACCAAATTTTATAATTTTTCGAAAAGCTGCAGGGGCGAGAAAAGTTCTGTCGACCAATTTTTTTATATATTTTTTGTCACCTATTGTTTTCTGTCTGTGTTTTTTCTATCGATTTTTTTTATTTTATATCTCACACCCCCTAGTCGCATTTTTCAGCCTTTTTCTTGTCGCACCTTATGGACTCATTTGTTGCTTTTTGTCCCAATTTTTCGAAGTCCCGACTTGGAAGGGCGCATTTTTCATAGCCTTTTTCTGCCTTTTATGTCGGTTTTTCGTCTATTTTTATTGCCTTTTGATTGGGATTTTTTCGTATGTTTATTGTCCCTTTTTTGTGATTGGTACGGCTTGTGTCACCGACAGCTTCCCTGTCGGCGGCACTCTTTGTCGGGCAGCAGCAATCCGGCGGCCGCACCTTGTGGCGGCTTGCTTTTGTCGGCGGCGGACCTTGGCGGCCACATCTATCTGTGGTGGCTCGTGCCATAAGGGGTGGACGGACAAGTCCCCTCTCTTATTTTGTATAAAATTCTTTTTGTCATTCGTTAGGTAGCAGTCCAGCTGTGTGGACAATAAAATACAAAAATACAGTCCACTTCTTTTATTTCGAATTCACCACGGCCGCACCATTTTGGTCCATCGAGCCCGATACATAGCGCCATATCTTGGCCATACGAGTTACGAGCCCGTTGATAGTGCATATCAGTGTGTTGGCCGAATTCATCGCAAGTTCACGATACAGCAGCCTAACGTCTCAACATCACCAGGAAGCAGACAGGTCAGTGCAATTATCCCGTCTATTCCTCAATTCTATCGTCCTATCACATTTTTTCGCGTGTCAATAACGCATTTCCTTGTCACCGTTAATCATGACGGAAGAAAATCGAAAATTAACATTACTCTTGCGCAAAAGAGACCAAATTATCAAGCATCTTGAACGGATAGATTCATTTGTCACAAGTCACAGTATCGGTGATATTATGTTAATAAAGGCTAGGCACCAAACGGCTCTCGAATCTTTTAAAAACTTCAGTAATTTACAAGAACAAATCGAAGAGGTATTACCAGTGGCCGACCTTGTTACACAAGACAAAGAAAGGATACAATTTGAGGAACTATATTATTCTGTCATCGCCAACATAGAAACTTTGATCGAACAATGTGAAAAGAGCAAATTTTCGGCAAATATCGAACATCCACAACACGAGTCAAAATTCAAAATTAAACTACCCACCATTGAATTACCGGAGTTCAATGGGAATTATGCGGATTGGTTGGCGTTCCGTGATATTTTCAAATCACTTGTGCATGAAAACGAATCTTTGTCGGACATTGAGAAAATGCACTACTTATGCGCCACACTGAAGGGCGAAGCTCTTCGCGCTATCGAGTCGCTCACAATTTCTAGTGCAAATTATAATGCAGCCTGGGAGCTGATTACAAATCGGTTCGAAAACACAAGACATTTAGTTCAAGCTCATATTAGTAACATTTTAAATTCACCTACTTGTAAAAAATTTCCTAATGCAACACCTTGTAATCACAGTACAATAAAACCAAATTTAGAACTCGAGAATTTAAACAAACAGGTAATAAAATTCTGGGAAACTGAGGATTGCAATACTATTACAAAAATACCTTCACAGCAAGATCTTGCCTGCGAAGCACATTTTAAGGAACATACCAAAAGGGATGCCGATGGTAGATTCTGGGTTTCATTAGCAATAAAGGACAATTGTATGAATTTAGGAACCTCGTACGAATCAGCACGTAAACGATTTATTCCTTTAGAAAGAAGATTGCAAAAAAACTCGCAGTTAAAATCGCAATATGTTAACTTCATGCGCGAATATCAGGAACTCGGCCACATGGAGCTAGTTCCAGAAAATCAGTCAGATTGGTCCAATACGTATTATATTCCTCACCATGCTGTATTCAAAAACAATAAAATTCGTGTAGTTTTCGACGCGAGTATGAAATCAGATAACAATTTAAGCCTTAACCAAAATTTGCTAACAGGACCAACAATCCAAGATGACATTTTCGCTATCACGTTACGTTTCAGAACGTACCAGTTCGTAATCAGTGCAGATATCACAAAAATGTATCGCCAAATAAACATAAACATACCCGACCGCGAGTATCAGAGAATATTTTGGAGAGAAAGCCCTGATACACCTGTACAAATTTATCGTTTAACAACGGTTACCTACGGAACTACCAGCGCTCCATTTTTAGCCATTCGTTCGCGCCAGCAACTAGCAATTGAAAATCGTGAAACATTCCCAACGGCGAGCGCTAAAATTATCAGAGATTTTTATGTTGACGATCTATTGTCGGGGGCCGATATTTTATCACAAGCATTCGAACTGCAACATCAAATCGATAAAATTCTCAAATCGGGCGGTTTTCAATTATGCAAATGGGCATCTGTTGATGTCAACTTAATTCCACAGACAAACAGCACAGATACAGACAAAATAAATCTTGATAAACACAATGAAAATAAAACATTAGGTTTATATTGGAATTATCGCAATGATTCATTAGCGTATAAAATCAATTCACTTTCAAATTTACCAAAGGCAAATGTAACAAAGAAACACATCTTATCAACAGTATCCAAAATCTTTGATCCTTTAGGTTTAATAAGTCCTGTAGTCGTAAAGGCCAAACTATTGTTACAAAAATGTTGGTCTGAACAATTGCTCTGGGATCAAAAGGTTCCACACGATATTAACAGTGCTTGGTTAAATTTAATTCAAGATCTCACAGACTTGGACAAAATCACAATCGCTCGTAAAATCGTACCACAAAACGTTGTCAACATCCAAATACACGGGTTTGCAGACGCGTCCGAGAAGGCTTACGGCGCGGTTATTTATTTGAGAACTACCGATAGCAGCGGAAATATTCAGGTTAATCTATTAACTGCGAAATCTAGAATCGCGCCCATGAAAACAATTACAATCCCAAGACTAGAACTAATGGCGGCAGTTCTCCTTTCGGAACTATTAAAACGCGTCATTTTGTCATTAGATATCAAAATTGATCAAACAATTTTGTGGACAGATTCCACTATAGTTCTACATTGGCTAGCGCGCCCTGCCAGCCACTGGCAAATTTTCGTTGGTAATAGAGTAGCGCAAATCCAGTCTGAATCAAATTATGACGAATGGCGTCATGTCGTTAGCACCGACAATCCAGCTGATGTAGTCTCCAGAGGAATGTCTCCGGAAGAGTTATCAAAATGCTCTTTATGGTGGCACGGCCCAAAGTGGCTAGTTGAACAACCACAGAATTGGCCAAGTCCATTTGAAACAAATTTCGCATCAACAGAAATTCCCGAAATTCGGAAAACAGTTGTAACAACTATAACAAAAACATCACTAGATTTAATAGAAAAATTCTCAAGTTATGAGAAACTACTAAAATGTGTAGCATACCTATTTTCCTTTATTAACTACATTAAATCGAAACGTAATCACAAAAGGGTAAAGCTAGATGTTCATAATTTTGAAGATGCGCGTAATAAGGTAATTAAGTTCATACAAAGACAGGTATTCGCCAAGGAACTTAACGAACTAAAAACAAATGGTGTAGTCAACACAACGAGCGCTATTTTAAGTTTGAGTCCATTCATAGATAACGACGGTATCATTAGAGTTGGTGGACGATTGCGTCATTCAAATTTTACTTTCGCAGTGAAACATCCAATATTGCTACCGAGCAATCATCATTTTACAAAATTAGTCATCCAATATTTTCATGAACAACAACTGCATGCCGGGGCGCAGGCCACTCTTGCTGCGATAAGACAACAATATTGGATACTTTCAGCTCGTAATGTAATCAGACATACGTTGCACAAATGTATAAGATGTTTCAGAACGAAACCAAAAATCGCATTTCAAAAAATGGGCGACTTACCTGAACAACGACTAAACCCAACCAGACCGTTTTCAAAAACTGGGGTTGATTACTGCGGCCCCATTACAATAAAAGAAGGTCATGGTAGAGGTAAACGCAGTGTTAAGGCATACATAGCCCTTTTTATATGCTTGTGCACCAAGGCCGTGCACTTAGAACTCGTCAGCAGTTTGACGTCTAGTGCTTTCTTAAATGCTTTGAAAAGGGTCATATCACGCCGCGGAAATGTCTTAGAACTACATTCTGATAATGCAAAAAACTTTGTAGGCGGTAATAACGAGTTACAGGAGCTAAATGAACTAATCCATAGTGACGAATTTAAAAATAGGGTAATAAAAAGTTTGCAACATCAGGTCAAATGGAATTTTATCCCGCCAAGATCACCAAATTTCGGAGGCATTTGGGAGAGTAATGTTAAGTCAGTAAAAATCCATCTAAAAAAGGTGATCGGGAGTGCCTTATTGACATTCGAGGAAATGTATACTTTCCTTACCCGAGTAGAAGCCTGTTTAAATTCCCGACCATTTACCCCTTTATCCAACGACCCAAACGACCTGTCTGCACTAACGCCGGGTCATTTTCTAATCGGCGAGAGTTTGACGGCCCCACCAGAAAAGAACTTAGAAGATGTCAAACTGAATCGTCTAGACCGCTGGCAACTCCTCGAGAAAATGCGCCAGGAGTTTTGGATCAGATTCCAGCGGGAGTATATCACCCAGCTCCAACGCAGAAATAAGTGGAAAACATCTCCAGCGACCAGTCTGAAACCAGGTTGCTTGGTACTGCTAGTGGATGAACAAACTCCACCACTAACATGGCCACTAGGCAGAGTCCAGGAGGTCCATCCAGGACGAGATGGATTAGTACGAGTCGCTACAGTCAAAACTAACAAGGGGGTCTACAAGAGAGCGATCTCTAAATTGTCCATCTTACCAATAGACAGCGACATCGAAGACACCACATCGAGTGATTAGTGTCACCGAGTGATTAGTGTGTGCAAATGACTAGTGTGTGCGAGTAAAGGTGCGCAACTTATCCGAGTGTAGCGCTAAAAAACGCAGTTCGCCTTTTTGTCTCGCACAATATCGTTATATCGTTATTTTTACATTTTTTGTTTACATTTGTGAATGTTACATTGAACTGTGTAACATTTATTTGTACTTGTATTTTGTATATAACATTTTGCATAACTTTGATTTTATGTGTCACTATGTGTGTGTTATTGTATTTCGAATTCAGCAGAATTCAAGGGCGGCGGCATGGTACGGCTTGTGTCACCGACAGCTTCCCTGTCGGCGGCACTCTTTGTCGGGCAGCAGCAATCCGGCGGCCGCACCTTGTGGCGGCTTGCTTTTGTCGGCGGCGGACCTTGGCGGCCACATCTATCTGTGGTGGCTCGTGCCATAAGGGGTGGACGGACAAGTCCCCTCTCTTATTTTGTATAAAATTCTTTTTGTCATTCGTTAGGTAGCAGTCCAGCTGTGTGGACAATAAAATACAAAAATACAGTCCACTTCTTTTATTTCGAATTCACCACGGCCGCACCAGTGATTTATGTTCCCTTTTTCTGGAACTTTTTCGTGGTGTTTTTTATCCGATTTGTTTTTTAACTTTTTTCTCTCGTTCTTTTTGTCGCTTTTTTTTACGTCTTTTTTTTTCGTATAATTCTCTTTATTTTTTTCTACAGTTTTTATCATATTTCAATTTACTCCCCATTTTTTTATCGTATTTTTTGTCGCACTTTTTGGGCTTTTTGTAATTGCTTTATGCCATTTTTCGTTCCTTTTTGGTCGCCTTGTTTTTATGTCACGGTTTAGAGGCATCTTTTATGTCATTGTTTTCGCCTTTTTTTATCGTCTCTTTTTTGCCTCATTTTATATGGACTTTTGTTGTGCTTTTTTTTTCTCGTGTCTATTGTCGCCCTTCTTTTAACATTTTTTGTTCCCCTTTTTGTCACGCCTTTTTTTAGCTTTTTTGCCGCCTATTTTTTTTATTGTGTTTTCTTTTCTTTTTTTTTGGTTCCCTTTTTTCAGTCGTATTTTTTGTCACTTTCTTTATCTCTTTCTTTTTTTCTTTTTTGTTGCCTTTTCTTATGTCGCAGTTTGGAGGCCGCTTTTTCATAACCTCTTTTGTCATATTTTTTGTCCCTCTTCTATCGTTTGCTTGCCGGCCTTTCTTCCGTATTTATTATAGCCTTTTTTGGTATCATTTGTTTCCTTTTTCCTTCCCGAGTCCGTCGGCCGACTCTCTACTTTTGCATTTACTCAACCTATCATGACCCCTAGAGGACGAAGAAATAGCTCTCCCGTTTCCGTCTGTCTATCCGTCTGTCCATCTGTCCGTCTGTCTGTCCGTCTGTCTGTCCGTCTGTCTGCCGTTCCGGATATTTATTTGACAGATAATCTCCGAAGGTACTTGACCGATTGCTGTCAAATTTTGTATTTATATTAAAAATGTATGTAAAACGGTAACCAAAATTTGTCTAATCAGCCCCACCACTAATGTGATGACGTCACTTCAAAATTGTACATAGTAATTGGGTTTTAAATTGTATCAAATAACATAGTCTGACACATGTAGTTTATGACTTCGAATTGAGATTTTACCCAAAACGTCCAGATTTTTGGACAAAAAAATCAAAATTTGACATTTTGACATTTAATTTGGAATCTACAAAACCGAATGCTTTGAAATCTTGCAGATATTTTAAGGTTATAAAGAGCATAATAAATTTTTAGTCAAAATATATTTGCTTATCCCCTCCAAAAAATTGATGACGTCTGCTCAAAAGTTTGCCGAATAAATCCTATCTAAAATGTATAGAATAGGATGAGTCTGTACTTGTGATCTATCATTCCATTAATATTTTTTGGATTTGCGTATACAAGGTGACTCAAAAAAATTATCATTGTGTTTCAAAAGCTAGGGGCGTTCTGTCGAAATAACCAATTTTTTTGTTACTTTTTTCTGGCGTTTTCGTCCCATTTTTTGTTGACTTATCTGTCTATTTCTTTTACACGCTTTTTTAACAAATTTTTGTCAGCTATTTTTTTTTCGTGTTTTCTCTCCTTTTTGTCAGTCGGAATTTTTGTCACATTTTATTTCGCTCCCTTTTCATCGTATTTTTGTGACCTTTTCTTGTCTCAGTTTTTAATCCATTTTATCGATTTTTTTGTCTCTTCGTTTTATTCGCTTTTTTAAGGCAAAGCTTAGAAGCTCGTTTTTATAGTGTTTTTTTTTTCTTTTTTAGTCGTTTTTGTCCTTTTTTTAACACCCTATTTGTCGACTTTTTTCCCGCGAATTGCTTATCGTCTTTTTTGATATCTTTATTCCATGTGTTAGTAAGATGTTAGTCTGGCAACCTAACACCTGGTTGCTAAGTTACGCTTGGCTCATATGGTGTTAACAATATAGTTTCAGAATATAATATCTCCATTATTAACACTCCTATGGTTATGAAATTTTAAATATAAGTTGTGCACAACTTTCACTACATAACTGCGAAGGCAGTTTATTTTAACATTTTTTAAATTTAGTTGTAATTTTTGCATCACGTATTTTAAAAAATCAATATTTCAGTTATTTATGGAAATTTTGGAACGGGGTTATTACCACTGTTTTCAGCTTGCAAAATTTTCGAAATCGTACTACATCTATTTTTGACTTTATTTGTTGGAACTGAGAGATATTTAAAATAAAAGTTAGCAGTTTTTTTTACTGTGTCAATACACAACAATTTTCTAACGAAAAAAATCGACGATATATCTGGTATGATTTCTGGAGTTTTATAAGCTCGTTCGATTTAAAATGATTTATATAGATAAGTAACTTATTTAATAGAATTTACAACAACTGCTCGAAGTGTTTTGATACATAAATTGACTCATCGTTTCATTTCTCAAATAGTCGATTAAGAGCTGATTGTTAAAAAATAATGTTTGTCGAAGTTGAGAACAAGAAATCATCTGTGGTGTCAAATCAGGTGATCAAGGTGGATAGATTGGTTTGTCTGGGAGCTGCTTAAATGGTCGTCATAAAATTTCCTTAGAAAATTCAACCTTGTTGGACGTGTGTGAGCTGTTGCACCATCATGCTGAAAATATTCATTCTGTAATTCTTGACGATCAAGCTGGCCAATAAATCCCTCAGTAACTGACTCCTCGAAGAAAATGGAGCCTAGTCTTCGAGCAAATGGCACACCAAACTGAATTTTTAATGGGTGTAATGGCGTTCCTTAAAAAAGTGAAGATTTTTTCCACGTCACATTTTTATATTTTGCAAGTTTACATACCCTGATAGATCTAAGTTCTTGCAACAGCTGTATTTTGTAAAAAAACAACATCAGATCCTTTTGAACAATTTTCTAACAAGTTGAATTTGACAAATCTGTTTGCTGGAACTGCCTTTTTAAAGATGAGTGGGGGTTATTATCCTTAACTTGTCGGACATTTTCAACACTTTTGGGAATTCGTTCCTTAAAATTATACACCAGAATTTTTTTACGAAATTCCTGAAAACAGGGTCAGGCATCACGCATCATGCACTTTCACAACCCCAAACGCTAACTGTCGAAAACTGGAATTATTTTCACACATTTCTGTTCGTTTCATGCTTTAAAATATCATTGTGATTTGACACTCAATGTTCAAGTTAATAAAGAACCATTAGTAGTTAATGCTAAATGTTTTGCTTCATATATTCATTAGGGTATTTTTATTAACTTTTTCACTTGGTATCAACTCAGCCTCATGTTTATTATCTTCATCAAGTATTCCATTGCTTACTTGTAGCAGAAGCAGAAAAACACCCCCGTACACATAATTGTCATGGTTGGCGTGCTTGTGAATTTATGGTCACGTCAGTTCGATTGTTAAGCTCTGATATTATCATACATTTACCAACCGAGCTTGATTAAATTCCTTTTTGATATGACCTTAACGTTCCTAAAAAGCTAACTGTTTTGGAACACGTTATGCCAACCTCTTCACAGACAGGAAACGAAAAAAACGCGATTTCATTGAAAGTGACAACTTAATCGCCTTTCTGCTTTCAAACGGTGCGTTTTTAGCCGAATAATTAATAATGAGATAGATCCAAGATGATAAATGGTGGCAACGTCTGAAACAACGCCCACAACACCTTGAACTGAAAATAATGATGACGGATCGTGTGTGTATCAAATTTACGAAAGGCCTCAGCGTCAGAAAGGCCGAATTGGACCGTCCAATAAATTAAAATTATTAAGCAGCCGGCCGTACATAATAATCTATGTCCGTTTACATAAAAATCTATTTTCGGCTGGATGGGGGCCCGTTAGTCACGTTCATTTATTAAAAATGACAGTGCCATAAATAAATTAAACTTAATTGCCTGTAGAATCATAGTGAATGCATAAAACTGATGTAGCATCAATTTGCCGCGTGGCTCTGTTAAAACAGCGCCGTCTTTGATGTCGAGTGCCGGCTTGACTGATATCAACATCCGCACATCAATCTAATTATACGGGCCCGAACAACGGCCTTTGATAAAGCGGCCAACTTTAGAACGCTAAGCATAAATAATATTCGCTGTCACCACCGACATTCTGCCACTTGTGTTCTATTTCCAAAGGGAAATGCGGCGGCGGCCATCCGTTATTGTGGCAAGGCGGGGGCGAAATGATGCCATATGGATCTTGCGTGCCGCAGACGATTCCGATTGCTCACAATTCTGCTTATTATAAACTAAGCCACTGTTGAGCTTTCTCTTCCGAGACTAAAAGGGGAGAAAAAGCGGCGAAAAACGATGGCGAAGTGGTGGCTCCACTCTAAAACATTTTCGAAATTTACTACAAAAAGTAAAAAAACTAACGGGTGATTTTTTAAATTTCTGCTCTAGTTACTCATGACTAGGCTTCGGATTTTAGGTCGTTAAAAAATGAATAAAAGGAGACATTTTTAGGTCCCAAAATTGACGAATTAGGTTAAACATTAAA